CCGTTCACGGATCCCACCATGCTGGGATCGGCTCGAAGTAAGATGGTGCTCATAAGTTGTTGTATTATTGCCGTGTTGGGATCGTCTTGAGGTCATCTTGAGATCATATCCCGGTCATGTTGGATCACGCAACCATCGCGTGGTCATTATGAGGCCACCCTGGGTGCGCTTGGACCCATCTTGTTGCCATCGGGCCATCTCGGCGTCACGCGTTGCTCATGTGTTGCGTCATCTGCGAGTCGGCCTGAGACGGTCCAGAATCCATGGCGGGATCGCGTTGGGGTGGCATCATCCTGGGTCTTCTGGACGTTATCGTCCGTGGCCTGAGGCATACCTGGAAGCATGTTGTGGCCATGGGGCGTCTTGGGATCGCGTGCGTGCGAACGCTGAGCGCGCGCGCGACTTTTCATCTTGCCGACGGGTTTACATACATATCATTCCTCTTGCGAGTTTCCAAGGAAACTTTTGTTGGAGCCAAGCCTGTCCGAGCCCCCGCATGTCCGTAGCCATTTTGGCTCCAGGTTCACTGGTGGGGGGTTGGGGAAGCATTGTATTTTGGGAGTGTACTTTGCTTCATGCCATCCGCCATCGACCTGGCGAAGCGCGCCTTGGTCAGCCTCCTTCGGACCCTTGCTGCGGCTTACGGCGTTGCGCTGACCTTGAAGAGGGGCGCGCCAGACAAGGAGGTGAGCGGCGCCTACCGCAAGGTGTCCTTGAAGACCCACCCCGACCGCGGCGGCAAGGCAGAAGACCAGACCGCCCTCAACAACGCTCACGACGCCTGGGAGGCGGCCAAGAAGGCGAGGAAGCCTCGAGGAGGCAAGCGCGACGGGAAGCAGCAGGACGAGTCAGGTGAAGCTCCTGTGCTGCCCGTGCGCCCTGAGGAAGACGCCCGAGGGGGGCGGAAGGGTTTTCGCTTCCAGTCCCAGGGTGTGCTGTTGACCTACCAAAAGCTTCCGGACTCCAGTTGCTGGAAGCGGTTCGTGACCTTCGTGAAGAGCCAGTTGGCCAGCTGGAAGGTTCGTTTCTGGTGTGCCACCCTTGAGACGAACCACGACGGGGGCCACCACTTGCACTTGATGCTGCAGTTCTTCCGTGCTCAGGACAGGAACGCGTCTACCTTCGCTTTCGAGGGCGTCCGCCCGAACGGGGAGCCGAACGACCTGCTGGGCCAGGGGTGGGGCGGCAGGCGGCTACAGAAGTCTCTGGACCGGGGCTTCTTTTACGTGTGGGCGGCGAAGGAAGGCACGGTGCCGATTCAGCAGAGGGCTTCCATGAAATTACATACCATGAGAATAGGAAGTTGAAGAGGGATGAGTGGCTGCGCGAGGTGAGGGCCGGGAAGCTGTTCGCGGCCGTGAAGAAGTTGCAGCCCGGGAGGCACGAGGGCCCACGGCGGCTGCTGTGCGACAACGAAAGCTTCATGGGCGGCAAGGATTGCAAGAAGGAGTATAAGAAGAAGAGGATCCAGCTGCTCAACATCCCCGCGAGGTCTCCCGAGTTCAACCCCATCGAGTCCTTCTGGGGCTGGCTGCGCCAGGCGATGCGCCGCAGGGACCTCGAGGACCTGAGGAACAAGCGGCCCGCTTTGGGAAAGACCGCCTGGACGGTCAGACTGAAGAGGTTGCTCAAAACTCAGAAGGCGCAGACTGTCGCCAAGCGGAAGTTCCAGAACTTCAAGAAAGTGTGCAAGGTCGTTTACCAGAGGAAGGGGGCGCACTCGGGCCTCTGACGCGCGTTGGCCATGGCGCCGACTTGTCCCACTGCCAAACTGAATGGCCATCCCTGTCGCGCGGGATGTAAAAACCGACGCATCGGCCCAATGAAAGTTCCTGGAATTTTCATCACGACGCTGGCCGGCGGAAGTCGACGGAAGTAAAACGAGGCGGAAGACGGGGGAAGTCCGCCGGAAGGCTTGCCAGTGTCAGCGGAAGTTAATGACGCCCCTGCCGAACCCCCTACCCCCGTAGAAGCCTAGCAATGTTGTCTTCCTCCGTGGGCCGGGCGGGATCCCGCCTGGCGTATTCCGCTTTAATATTATAAGTTTAGTTCAGGACGATCAAAATCCCACCCATTAAAAATGGGGTAGACCAAAATCCCGGGTCGTTCACGGATCCCACCATGCTGGGATCGGCTCGAAGTAAGATGGGGCTCATAAGTTGCAGTATTATTGCCGTGTTGGGGTCGTCTTCAGGTCATCTTGAGATCATATCCCGGTCATGTTTGGATCACGCAACCATCGCGTGATCATGATGAGGCCACCCTGGGTGCGCTTGGATCCATCTTGTTGCCATCGGGCCATCTCGGCGTCATGCGTTGCTCATGTGTTGCGTCATCTGCGAGTCGGCCTGAGACGGTCCAGAATCCATGGCGGGATCGCGATGGGGTGGCATCATCCTGGGTCCTCTGGACGTTATCGTCCGTGGCCTGAGGCATTCCTGGAAGCATGTTGTGGCCATGGGGCGTCTTGGGGTCGCGTGCGTGCGCACGCTGAGCACGC